ATATGAAAAGCCTCTAGGACTTGTCGGATAATAAATTGATAAAGTAGGACTGACTGGTAAATATCTCTTATACTAACTCACACAAAAAGCATCTCAGTTTCTTTATATTTTCTTTTATCGAATTTAAATTTGATTAAAAAGTATTTAAAAATGATTTCCTATCTTTTTGTCATTTGTTCATCAAGTTAGGAGATAATTAATTTTTTTTTCATCAAATTAATAACTTATCAAATTTTTCATTAAATTTGGATTTGGTAAAAATTTAATAAGATGAAGCATTGAAAATAAAAATAAAAAATTAAATCAAATTTGATAAAATAAAAAAAAATTGGGATAAGAGAAAAATGTTTAAAAAGATTTTGATAAAATAATTTATATAAAAATCAAACTTTTTATTCAAACTAAAAATTGAATTCATTGATGAAGAGTTGAAGATGATTTAACATTGGATTAATTAAACTTTTTACTTTTTGTAGTTTGCCCTGAATCTTACTTTAGCTTTTATAGTTTCAATTGAACTTATTAGGTATTTGCATTTAAAGTTTAGTTTTAATTCGATTATTTAATTTAAATTGAAGGTTAAAATTAATAATTTTAAAATATTTATCAATTTTTTAAGGTGTACACGTAAATAAAATTAATAAAAATTTAGAAAAAATAACTAAATAAAAATTAAACTTTAAAATATAAGAATCAAATTATTCAAATTAAAAATACAATACTAAAATAAAGTTTGGATGAAATAACATGATTGAAAAGTGTAATTAACCTTTAATGGTTGAGAAGGCGAAGGACACGTGCTCAATCACAAGTGGATGGAAGCATTAAAGAAAGAAGGAAAGGGCAGGGAAGGTGAGAAGGAAAGATCCTGCATCAGCGAAAGAAGGAAGTGGGGGCCACCTTGATTTTAGTGGAAAAGGTAAAATAGAACACCAAGGATCCTCTATAGTAAAATTTTCTTAAAGTTTTCTAGAGTACTACATTGTGTGGTTGAGATTTACTAGCAAGTTATATCAGAAAAATTAATGTGACTTGCCAGTAAATCTCAACCACACAATGTAGCACTATAGGAAACTTTAGAAAAAAATCACTTTAGAGGATCATTGCTCAAAGAAGAATGCTATATATCAAATTTTTTACCAAAAAATATTATTTTAATATTTCCAACATTATTAAAAAACAAACTATGAGTTTGTTTCACAACTCGTAAATAAGTTCACTTATTTAGGTTTGTATATTTATTTACATTATATTACTTTTTATATTTTTTTTTATAAAAAGTTACATCCCTACATACATAGGATATCTTTATTTGAGAAATTGACTATTTTAATAGATTATTTAATTTTTTGATTATTTTAATTTGGTTAAAAAAATTATATTTAGGAAGTTAGTTAACTTTTTTATTTTTGTAATTAATTTAATAATTGAGAGAAAAAAATAAAATAATTATAAATTGAATATAATATTTTATTTTATTAATTATTTTAATCTATTTTATTTTTTAAGTCGGTAATTTTAACTCTCCTTGGAAACGAGGCAGATATGATATCAAGGTTAACTTAGAAGTGCAATGATTAATAACTAATTCAAGGACAAAAAGTCAAAACCCTAACCTAAATTTGATAAGCAGTGACTTAGGCCTAAAAGATCCGGGTTATTTTAGGAAGATGATTATAATTAATTTTTTTAATAAAAAATTACTTATAAATAATTTTTTTGTGAGAGAAAAAGTGAGTTATAATTTGAGAAGGGAATTATAACCCACTTCTCAAAAGGGGCCTTATTTTGGAAGATGAAGGAATGAGTGAAATTGAAATAGAGGTAAGACTTATTAAGACCTCGTTTGGGGACAGGCTAATTTAGTAATTTTTTGGTTATTTGGTTAAAATATGAGCTAAAAAAACTAGTATGTTTGGGATGACTTTTTGACTTTTTACGAAAAGATGTGCAAAAAGTAGAGAAAAAAGAGAATCTTTGACTTTTTGGTATGGGTTGTTGGTTTTTTAGTAAACTTTTTGACTTTTTTGGCTAAAAGTTCGGTTGCCGCAACGATGCCTAATATTATGTTATTTTGGAGATAAAAGGATTCAATAAGTCTTCCGAATTATGATAGGTCTTGATGTTGTGATTGAGACGGAGGTCAAAGACTTAAGATATTAGACAAATTAATCCTTTGGCTTAGCTTTTTTTTTTTTTATATATATATATATATGTTGGCCTTTTTTTTTGAAAATTAATTTTGAATGTTTTTGTATTTTTTGTTAAGTAAAAATTATTTTTATTTGTTTTATTATTTTATATTTCTTTTATATAAAAATAATTTAACAATTCCTACACTAACAACTATCATTAAAATAAACACAATTTTACTTAATCTCCTCACTAACAATCCTCTTACTATTAATTCGCTCTATTCTATCTCTGAAAACAAATAGGCCCTAATAGTAGAGCTCTGATTAGAGCTCTACTAACGTGATGAAAAAAAAAAAAAAAAAATATCACATCACATGGTGAGGCTCACCATTAGAGAGCTCTATCTATAGCTCCTTATCCAGACCTCTCAATCATTTTTCATACTTGATACAATAGCCTAATTTGGAAATAGCCTAATTTGGAAAGTTAGATATTTTAATTAGTTATTTGATTTTTTTTGACTATTTTAACTTGATTAAAAAATTGTATTTGAGAAGTTAGTTAGTTTTTTTTTAGTTGATTTAATAATTATGAGAGAAAAAATAAAATGATTATAGATTAAATGTGACATTTTATTTTATTAACTATTTTAACTTATTTTATTTGTAATGAATTATTTTAACCCAACTCTCCTTCCCAAACAAGGCGGATACGATATCAAGGTTAACTAAGAAAAAGTATAATAATTAATAGAACATTTACACACAAGTCTTTATTATCAAAATTATACTTCATTAAATCCTAACTAAGATTTTTTTGACATTCAAGTCTCATTAAATTTTTAATAGTCCAAGTTGTCTTTCAAACAATGATTGTTTATCATTTGTAATTATCTATAAAGGGACATGATGATTTAACATTTATTTTTGATTTTCAAAATTTTAAAATATCAACTTTCAAATTGAAAAAACTCAACAAAAAAAAAAATTACGTACAAAAAAAAAAGCTGATCAATGTGTTTGGTTTCAATTTTCTGAATTCAGTTTTCTAAAAGTTGAGTTTTTTGTTTTTAGTATTTTTTATGTTTTTAGTGAATATTTTTTAAATTTTAAGTAATTTTTGTTTGCTTTTTTAGATATACCTTACTTAGATGTATCTAAATAGTAAATTTTTTGTGAAAAAATTAATAAATACACAAAAATACGAAAAATGTACTGAATTTTCATTTTTTTTTTGTATTTTTGGTATTTAGTGAATTTTTAAAATATTTTTTTCACAAAATTATATTTTCTAAGTGTATTTATGTTAGGTGTGTTTAAAAATTAAAAAAAAAATGCTTAAAATATTAAAAAAAATTAGTGAAAACAAAAAAATACAGAAAATGAAAAAATAGAATTTTTTGAAAAGTGAATTCTGAAACTGGAAACAAACAGAGTGAATGTGTTTTTTTTTTCTTTTTGAAAAAATTAAAAAAATTGAATTATTTTTTTATGCAAAATTGAAAATTTTGTGCCTATAATAGAGTATGATAATAGAACATTGGTGTACAAAATTGAAAAAAAAAACTTTAAAAAATAAAAAAACTGATAATGTTCTCGATTTTATTGGATAATTGAATTAAACTAGTAAATAGAAGGGCAAAAATGTTTAATCTCAAACTCTATTTTTTTTATCAGTTAGTGAAGCAATTATCTAAAACATTAATATGCAAAATTAATAATGTTCTTAGTTTAAAAAAAAAAATGATAATAGGGTAATTATAAACACACCCCCTGAGGTTTACTTAAATTACAAATTTTTCCTGTGATTTTAGAAATTACATTATGCCTCCTAAGGTTTGTAATTTCATAATAAATAGGTCATTTTATTAATAAATCATCAAGTTAATTAACAGTTTCTAATAATGTTAAATTTTTATTTCAATTAATAATTCAAATAATTTTATTTTTGTATAGGTAAATAGTTAGAAATTTCATTTTTTCAATTAATTATATTAAATAAAAAATTCTGACAGGGAGATATTTGTAATTTTTCGAATTACAGGAGCAGTTCGTATTTTAAGCAAATCTCAGGAGATATATTTATAATTTACCGTTTTATTTATTTATATATAAATAAGACTTTTAAATAATGGGATACTTTTTCATAAATCTCTTTTCACCTACATATATTGTATTTATTCCATATTTTTTTCTCATGTTTCAATAAGTCTTATTAGTGACATAATTATCAAAATACCTTTAATAATATTCATATTTACAGTATGAATGTTCTATAATGTGAATGTTCACACCGTAAATGTTAACATATCAATATGAACATTTACATGTCAAAGTGAATATTCACATTGTAAACTATGAATGTCCACGTTACTAAATTGTTAACCGTTCAAAAAATATTTATAAGAATAGAAATATTCATAAAATACTTTAAATATGACGATTAAGATTTAATAAATCAAATATCTAAATAATAAGATTTATTAAAATATAAAAATATTTTATAGACTAATTAAAATATAAACACTTGAAAAAAAAATTTCTAATAAATTTTTCATAAATAATTAACTCTAATATAACTACTTTAAGGACAAAAAGTCCCACAGAAATAACGGACCACTACGTACAGTACTCACTTAGTGCTGCTGGTATACATATGCCAATGGTTGCTCTCGTATATTTCTCTCTGTATATTTGTCATTTATCATAAGCTCATGTTTGATAATTATATATTTTAGTAAATAAAAATTATTATAAATTATCATATTATTTTTTTATATTTTTTATTTGTTTTTTTAAAATTTAAAAAATTATTAAAATAATTTATTTCACAGGCTTATTCTGTGTATAACAATAAATACCTCAACCCCCCACAACCAAATGAAGAAAGAAAACACGAAAATTGTAGAGACAGAAAGGGCGGAGTGAGAGAGTCGGCGTTTTCCTTCCTCCATTGCACACATCTCAAGCATCGCTGTAAAATTGTATCTCTCTATTTAATCTATATCTATAGACGTGTAACGGCTACTTTTGATGATTTGGATTGGAGGTGAGTGATTGTGATTTGTCATACATGAATAATACCCTCTTCTTCTTTGTGTTGTTTATTTATTTTTGTTTTTGCATTCAGTTTGTAGACTGATAACACCCAAATGGATTACAACAATGACAGGTATGTTGCGACCTCTTTCACTATTTTTTATTTTTTTTATTTTTTTTAGTGTACTGTGATTTATAGGCTGCGAATGCGAATGCGTTAGTTGTGATTTGTGTTGATGGGGTTTAGTTCCTAAAATGTTGATTCCTTTGTTGGTTATTCTTTTGTCTATTCCTGAATTTCTTTCGATTGAAATGCTGGATTTGTGAGATGGGTTCGATTCATTTCATTTCCTGGCTTCTGGGTTTCTTTTACTCTACAGCAGTCATAATGGGAAAATTAGTATGAGGCTGTGGACTCTGATTTAGTTACTGGGTCATCTCTCTCTCTCTCTCTCTCTCTCTCTCTCTCTCTCTCTTCAATTACTATACATTTGTGTTCCTGCATTAGATATGTTTGTGAAGGAGCTTTTTTAGTACCCATCAGAACTACTTGCTGTTCTAATCTCTTACACTAACTAGATCTAATGCTCCAGTATTTCTTTTGACCCCTTGTAAACTGTGGTGGATGTTGCTACAATGCACCAAAAATATAGTTTTATGGCATGGATTTAGCTAGCTCATTCCTTAAATTTCTGCCACATTCGCTTTGGCTTAAGCTTCAATCTTTGTGATTTTTATATTTACATTTTTACCTTGGAAATTTATTTATATCTGAAATTTAATGCTTAAAACGACTTTTAAAATGGAAGCAGTGAAATGTGGGACTGGCATGGAGAGGATTACTGTCTCCCGAAGGAAACCAATCTTGGTGAGCCTTTGTTTTTCGATTTACTGGTAATGCAAGATATTTGGGTGTAAAGTTTTAATGTTGAATGGGTTTATTTTCTTGTGAGCAGACCTATCTCCATGCCTCTGGGATGGAGTAAGCCAGAATGAAGAAGATCTGTCCTGCATGTTTGATGAAACAACACCCGTTAAGGCCTGTGGGGATTTGGCTTACCATGTTGCTGACAATGGTAGTTTTATACTTTAGCATTCTTAATCTTTTTAATGCTTGTTCAATTTGAAGGACACTATTTTATTTGAAAAATTTAATGCAGTAAACATGAACAAGGAATTACAGCACTGCAGGGAGACATCTGCACAAGTAAAGAGACGTCGAATGCTGCAATTTGACAATGAGATTTTGGATTCCCCTCTTTGCAATGAGGACATTTCATCTGTCTTCTTGAAATCAAAGGTTGGTTCAATCTTGTTTTTCTCTTGTGGAAATTGATACATCTTATACTGTTACTTGGGGGAAAATTCTACACAATGATCTTATTTTGGTTTCACATAAAAGATAACTGCAAATTTATCATCCACTGCATATCAAGTCTGCCTGTCTGCAACTCATTTGTCTTTGATAATTCATTTTATGCTGTAAATGTTTCATCAGGTGTTCATTATTGGTCAGAATGCAACTTATGGACTCGTTTAGCTTTGGGTTTTGCCTAATTAATTTGTATATTCTTGTTCTACTTAATTTGTTCTTGCTCACTTCATTAAGTTTGTTTTAAACACTTATTTATGATCAACGTTTTCTGTTGGAATTATGTTTAGTATTAATTTGTGTGATTGAATGAAGTTTCACAAAAACTTAGATCCCTCATTTTGGTTCTGTGATTAGGAGAGAGAAGATTCGCTTGAAGATGCTTTATCTGATATGTCGCATTGGGTGTCCGGGTTTGCAGGTTTGTCCTGTAAAGTTCTGTTCTGAGATGAATAGATTCTAAATATTCATACATGTTTTTTGGTTTGTTTGTTTGTTGTTATAATATGTGCTACCAGAGGACACATCTGCATCTGGTTACGATGGCCTGGATCAGTCATCTGAGGGATGGCTAGCTGATTGCTTTAACAATGATGAGATGCATTGCAGCACTGATGAGACGTATATATCTAGGTTTTCAATTCAATATTCTTCAATTCATTTTTTTGTTTTTATTTTTTCTTCAACTACTATAATATGTGGAACACAGGAATCTGTCTGGGCAGTCCGATGTTCAAATCGATATTTCAGGTACATGAAGTATTTGCTATTCAACGTGTCAATTATTATTTTTTAATTTCTGTTTTTTTAATACTTTTTTCCTTTGTTTTCTTGGCTCTTGATATATTTATATTCAATCTATGTTATTTTTCACATTTTTATTAGTATATATAATTTTACATCACTGTTTTAGAGTTTTGCAACACCCCACCTGAATGTGAAGCTACTGTGCCCCAAGAGCATCCTAGTGGAACTCGTCGAAATGTTGTTTTCAAAGGTTTGTATTTCTTCTCAATCTTATTTTGTAGCACATATTGTTTAAATAAAAAATTGTTATAAACCCTGGAGTCTTTTCTTTATGTAATGGAAATTTGTTGTTTTGGAATGGTCACAACACACCCTTGAACCAATAATGTCCAAAGAAGTGAGTAATGTCCAAAGAAGTGATTTGTGACATAATCTTTGTACTCACGTGTAAATTGCAAACATTATTGTGCATAGCACTTGGCCCATATGGTAAACTTAGTTCCATCTATTCTCGTCTCTTTGTTTTTCATACTTAGGTAGGAAGTCATACATGCGAACTCCGACAAAGTTGGCTTCATCTGTTGCCTATCCATTTGCCTTTATTAAACCATGTGGTGTCCATGGAGATGTAACTCTAAAGGACATAAACCAGCGCATACGCACTCCACCACCCGCAAAATCGAAGCAAGGTAATGAAGAGGATCCTTCTGCCTCGTATCCCACTTCAGCTTTTTCCGGGAAGCCTGTTGTCGGCAAAACTAAAATTCACACCGAGGGAGGAAAAGGCAGCATCACTATCATGAGAACCAAAGGCTGAATAGATAAGTGTTCTCCAAAATTTCTTTTTTGTGGCCTTGCTTGGTTCATTCTGTTCCAAGGTCAAGTTTCTTTTGTATCATTCTCGGGCACCTAGTATAACAAGTTAGTCCTTCATTCTTAGGTTGGTGTTAATTCTTGGAACTCATAAATTAGGTTAAGTGTTTATGTTTCCAAGTGGTTTTGTAGGTGACAAATACCTGTTGTTTTATAGTTGGTTGGGACTGATTCAAGAGTCAAATGAGGATCTTGATAGCTAAGAGATCCTCTTAGCTGCTTCTTTTCTTTCAAAAACTTTGTTAATGATTTCACCTACTTCCTTTTAATGTGAAGAGCCTGTGTTTACTTGGTATATTGTGTTGCTTGAGAGATTGCTCTAGTTGCAAATATATGTATAGATACAATGTTTTCATTGATTTTGTGTGACTGGATCAATTCGGTAGAATGAACATTGTAGGTGCTAATGAAAGTTTAAATATCTAGATATCAGTATGATGTAGTCCATTGCTTGCAAATCCTCAGTGTATGTTTCTTGAGAGCTTTCTCAATAATAGACATAGAAGTTACATTTAATGAGGGACTATGTTCCCTTCATCGGCATATGGATATTATTAAGGATAATGTATTTAGAAGGTTTAAATGAACCAGAAAAAAAAAAAAAAAAAAAAAAAAATCAGAAATAATTTCTTTTGCACTTCTTTTTAATGTTTATGAATTTCTGATGTATGGATGATTGTTATGGATTGGTGGAACCAAAACTATGGTTTCAGACATATTTTAGAAGCATAACACATATATATATCTGTAATGTGGTATGGTAATGGGATATTTTATAACACATTTGTTATGTCTCATGTATAATTTTTAATCTACTTTTCAATGTGAGATCATCAGATAATGCTCTTATGTTTTTGGTTGTTTACTATATTAGAACAGGTTTCTCTCCGTTAGTTTGAGTTTGATTTGCAATTGAATATTAATATCACATGTTTTCTGCTATGGTGTTGGATGATTGGGAAGGAATGTATATCGTTATCGATTTTCCTCACTCAATCTTCGAGCTAGCATTGGGTGTCATAATCTGGGTTTTACATTCCATTTGGCTTATGAACAATTTCGCTTTTAGTACAGGTATCATGTGTGTGAATAAGTTTTCACGTCTCTCTCTCTCTCTCTCTCTCTCTCTTGCACACATTTCGTAATCAGGGAAATTTCATGACAAAGGTTTTTCATGCCCAGACTGGTATTTAAGGTGGGTTTTTGGCCATGTATCAATTAATTGATTATGTTCATCCCTTTTGCAATATTTGTTTATAACCATTTCAGATATATAATGTGTCTAAAGATGATTATTGAAAAATGGTAAGGGAAAGTGAATTGAGAGGTTGCATCTTTGGCAATAGACTTGTCAGTAATATAAGCTTGATCAAAATATTGTGTTGATTAAGCTTGAGAAAGCTGATGTGTTTTTGAATGTAAACCATTGTGTGTGTGTTGTGTTTTAGTTATATGCAATAAGTTGAAGTGCAGTTTAATAAGTTGGAGGTGCTGTTTACTTTTGAAAGGTTATATAAGATTCCTCTTCAATCAATTTAGGTTGGGCATGTTGAAATTGGTTGTTCTAAATGAAGCTTGAGAGATATTCTTTACTATTTACTACAGTTAATTTTTCCCCCTAGGGAATGGAATCAAGTTGTAGCATGCTTGCTCTGTGAGCAGCTTTAAGAGAAAGAAAAAGTGAAAGATTGTTGAATGCAATAAAAGCATGTATTAATAAATTCCATGCCTCCACTTTTTTGTGCCTAAATTTTGGATTCAAAAGTTAAGGCTGTTTTCCTCATGATGGACCTTCTTGGGAGTGACATTTTAATGCTTTGGAAACATGGGGCTATGATTTCAATCTTAGGAAGGTGCTTACTCTCTATGGAAAGAGGTGTTGGGGCAATGATTCAAAGAGGTTGTGCTAAGAGCTTGCTGCCTTCTCAACTTCCCTGTTGCTGCCATCTGTCCCAATTAGGGGTAAGCAGTTCAGTTTGGTCTGGTTGGATTGAGAAAAAATTTAGTACTAAATTGATCTCTTTGGATTTGTTAATCGATGAATCGAAATTGACACATGTTATGGTTTGGTTTAGTATGAAAGAGAGATTTAAACGAGTCTTTAACGCTGTGTTTGGTTGGGAGATTTGGGAAGGGAAATGGAAAGGGAAATGGAAATGAAAGGAAAAGGAGAAAGAATTAATAGAATTCCAAATCCCAACTATGTTTGGTTGTGTTGGTTATAAAATAGAATTGATGTCTTAAAAGGTCTCCTATTTCTTTGTTTGTTTCTCACCCCCTTTCTTTTCCCTTTCTTTTCCCATATATTTTTTATTATTACCAAACATAAATAGGATTACATTTCTCATTCCTTTTCCAAATCTCACCCCAAAAACCCGAACCAAACACAGCATAAAGGTTTTGTAGAACTTCGTAAAATCTCAATTCTGGAGTAATGAAACGAAATGGTGGAGTCCTAACATCTCCAAATGTGTTATTTATCTTTTAATGCTCAAAATATAAAAGTATTTAAATATATTATTTTTATTAGTTTAATTGGTGTTAATATAAATTAAAAAATAAAATAAAATAAATTGTACCTTATGAAAAACTAATCAGAAGTTAAAATTTTGGATCTATGTCAAGTGGTTGGTGTTATTCTGCTAGTTTTTCTTATAGCCGCCTTAGGGATGATTTATGTTGGAGGGAATGTTAGATAATGTTACATGATACTCTTAGGGGTTGTTTGGAGTGTTCTAAATAAGTGTACTTTTTATCTTTTTGAAGTAAAAAATTGAGGAAGAAAATATGGATGTTTAGGTTAATTTTTTGACTTTTTATGGAAAAATGTGTAATAAAAAATTGTAAAAATTGATTTGTAGAGAAAAATTAGGATTGGGAGTTGTGGAGCTGTAATTATTGACTTTTGGTGAATAGTATCAACTTTTTGACTTTTTGAGTAACTTTTTGAGTAACTTTTTGACTTTTTTACAATATGCCAAAGTTGGCCTTAGATTATTTAATAATTTTCCCATGTTAGAGGGTTTTGAAAACTAGACAAACAAATTTGAAGATTTGAGAGTGTTGTTGAAGTACATATTAAGCAAAATATAATATTGGGTAAATTACACTGACCTCACTTGAGGTTTGGAGAAAATATAACAAGCCTCATAGTTTTGATATAATTATACTGACTTATTTTTTAGTGAGGTTAAAAGATGTGGACGTAATGCAGATTGTATGAAAAAATAAAGATAAATAAGGTATATATATATATATATTAATGTAAAAGAAATGATAATATTAATTTTTTATTTATTTATATGATTAACAAATTGTTGATGAAAAGGGCAATTGATTGAGAGTTCAATGTAATTCTATTAAAATTATAAAATTTATTATATATATTTTTTAAATCTCTAGTGTTATGTATCCTACAATAATATTTTATACACTCCCTCCATCCTAATTTGTTTGTTCATTATAGAAAACAAAATTTTACTTATTAAGGAGACATACAATCATTACATTTTAATTTAAATTTTGATTTTTTTTTTTCACCATTGCCTTTCTATTTAAATTTTAAAATGTGTTCATAATGATTTATAAGAGACAATTTTAAAAATCTAATAAAATTTAATATTTCAAAATAAAAAGTGAATAAATATTTTAAAACAAATTAAAATAAAATAAAATGGACCAACAAAATAGAACAAAGAAAGTACATGTTTTTACTAAACAATAGACATATATATCAGAGTTGCTCTTAGTCCACATGTAAGAGAGGGTGAGGAAAAGAGTGAATATGTGCACTTAAATGGTCTTGTGCCCTTGGTTGGTTCTATAATCTATTCCTTTTTCTAGTTGAAAGGTCAAAGGGCAGCTGATTTTGATAAATACTCTTTTTAGCCATAAAAATTAGCTTTTCCTAAAACACAGGGCAGAGTAATTTTGGGAAGAGAAAATTACTTAATTGGAAAATGAAAAACATGAAAGAAACTTTTTACCAAAAAAAAAATTCATATGAAATGTTATAATAATGATAAACTCTGACTTATAATGAATATATATAAATTAAATATATCATTAACATTAGGCTATGTTTGATATCCCAATTAGGTTGATGGAGGTTGTTAATACATGAAATTGAGTGATGAGATTACTGATGGGATGGTACTGAGTTGGACGTGAAAGATTAATTTTATTTGTTTGTATACTAGTATAGTGATATCAAATAATTGAAATTAAATTTATGAAATTTGGCAAAGTCCTTATTACATGAAAAGTGAAGTGTTATTTTTGTGAGGTAGGGGCAACCTCCAATCCATGTGAATGCTAATTTTAAAGGATTCATAGCTGGAAAAATATATTTGCACGCTACTGGTTGTCTCAGTATAAACCTTCTCTTTACTCTTCACTCTTTGCTCAATTCACATCACACCCAAATTAAAACTTTTGATTTTGTCTCAATACATCATTTTTCAAATAATACCAAAAAACCCTATTCTCTAGCAAACCCTAACCCTTACCATCGTTGGCGACTGATAGCCATCCCTATCCTTTAATCACCACCCCCTCCATAGCTTCTTTCCCTTCTTGCCGCTACCATCAACCATCACATCTGCTACCAATACATGCCCAGTCTCTTCTCTAGCCCCATTGTCCATCCCTAGGCCCCACTGTAATTTAATACCGTTAGAGCATCCCTATTAGTTCCCTTATAATAGCTTTTTGCTATTATAAGGGGTTAATTCTTCAATTTAGGATTGCTACAATGACTCCCTATTTGTAGGGAGTAACTGTAGCTCCCTTATATCTAATAAATTCTTATTTTATTTCGTTTTAGGCGTGAAGGAGAAGTCTGCTAGATGTCCCCCCCTTCCCCCCCCAGACGTCCCCTCGGACATTCCCCTGGATGTCCATGAGTGTCTTGTAACTGAAGAAGAAAAATGCTCAAAAATCACTTAATCGGTTGTCTACCCGGACGTCCGACCCCTGGCTTCTACTTCTGTTGCTTTCTTCTGTAATTATCCCTATCAGCTTTGAGCCTCCATTTGCTCAAGCCCTGCCTTTGGGACTTGGGACTAGGGCCTCTCATTTGCTTAAGCTTTCAGACCCCCTTCTCTCTCTCTCTCTCTCATTTGCTCAAGCACTGCCTTTGAGCCTCATTTTTTACTTTATTTTATATTGTTTAATTATTTTATTATTAAAAAAAATATTCAAATTTAAAAATAATTAAAAAGATTATTTTAATAGAATAGAAAAGGAATGGGAAATTTGTTGGGGAAGGTAGATGAAAAAGTAATTCCTAAAATA